TCAACAGACGTCAAAATAACAAGTGTACCACTGAGTCGCCCGAAAATTGCCAAAGGGGTTGACACCTCAAGCTGAAGTACTGACACCTTTTGTCACTCGGTGTTTGGGCCAAAATGCAATTTTGCTTGATGGTTTAGACAGTTCTGGTCCCTAACTTATGGAACCTATGCACTTTAATCCTCAAGTTTCTAATCTTTTTGGTTTGATCCTAAAAGTTGTGATATTTTTGGTTTAAATCCCAATCTAGTCCATTTACTTTGATAAAAGACCCTTTTTTAGTTCCTTAAAAAAACTCATTTTTAGTTTCTAAAATTTGAAATCTAATTATTTTTTAGTCACTTCGTTAAGTTTTGTCTCATGATACATTATCTTAACAAAAATTTCAAAATAAAGGGACATAGAAAAAGTTTTTTTTTTAAGTAAAGGAACCAAAAAGGAGGTTTTTTTGGCCAAATTAGAGGGACCTAAAAGGAACTAAAAAAGCATTTTTTTAGTCCTTTGAAATTTCCCATTTAACGTGTTATGTCACGGGTGCAAAAGTTAATAGATGAGCTACAAAGGGGACAAATTTCAAACTCTAGGAACCAAAAATATATTTGTTAAGTAAAGGGACTAAAAATGAATTTTTTACCAAAGTAGAGATACCAAAATAGTGTTTTAACTTTATATATTTCAATCAAGTTTTTTTCTGCATAATAAATGAAACTTAAGTAAAATCAAGTAAAATTTCATAGAACTCATTTAAATATTTTAAAGCAAAATTTTTACATTATTACATATGAAAATTCAACTCATCAATTTTGAAGTATCAATTATAGAGAAATGGTGTTTTCTTATGGAAAAGAGATTAAAATAATTTCGCTTGCTTTTGTTCCCTTATGAAATTGGAATGACTTCATGAAAAGAAAAATGGAGAAGAAAATTGATTGGTAGTTCATGGTTTTTGTCGATGGCTAGTTTGGTGGTTTGGTCACAACGGCTATACTACTATAGTGTTGTTGTGTTTATCATTTGGATTAAGAGTCTGTTTGGTTTGTGGAGAATTCATACCATTCTTTTTCAGAAACCACTTTCCCTTTATTAGGACTCATTGGTAGGTAAGTTTAATTTGTAGACTTTATATCTAAATGGTTTCTCTATTTGTCAGTCCATTGGTTGGCCATTGTGTGGAGTTGCTTTTGCTTTCATTTACTCATTCAACCTTCGGCCTAGAGATTTGAAGATCTTTGTAGTTTTGCTTGGATGAAAACCCTACTCGAAACACGAACAAATGGTTACTTGGTTGTGGTATTATTTCATTCTGTAAAATGAATTTTGCTAATTTATAAGCTAGGACTCCTGGCATGCCAATTTGTTCAAGGAAATGGATTCTGATCTCGGAGGAAGGAGACGGCACGGCAACGGCAACTCGACAATCGGTTTCAAGGATTTCGCGAACAGACTGCCAGCTTTTGACAGAGGATTACTGAAGCAATGTGAATCGTTCCATTTTGTTAACTTCCCTGAGGACTGGGGGGCGAAGCAGTTGTTTTACTTCATCAGAACGACCGTTAAAGCAGGTAGACTCTGGGACATTTTCATCCCCAGCAAGAGAGACAAAAGAGGTAACAGGTACGGTTTTGCCAGATTTTTAGACGCGAGGAATGAGCAGGAGATGAAGAAGCAACTGGGAAATATATGGATTGGTAACCAAAGGGTGGTTTTCAACTCGGCTGTGGAAAGAAGAAAGGAGAAGAGAAGTATGGAAGCAAAACTAGCAGAGGAAGCAAGTTGGAAAAGTAACAAGGGGAAAATCAATGCTGAAGACAAGAATACTGTGGAAGAAAGGAGTAGGAAGATTCCAAGAATGACATATGCGCAATGCCTTCTCCAGCAGAAAGAAATGGCAAACTCCACCGAAACAGGAAACAAAGATCCAACACCGTCAGAGTCAAAAGAATTTCCAAGGAGGTCTAACAAAGGAACGCCCAAGATTCCCAGTGTGAGTCGGCCTGTGTACAAAAAGGTGATTGAGCTAAAGGACACAGATAAAGCTAAAGATAAACTGATGAAGTGTGCAGTTGGGGTGGTGTTAACCCCATCTATCATCCCAAACCTCCCAGAAATTTTCTTTAATGAAGGTTTCCCTTCAATCAAAATTGCCCCTATGGGAGGTAATCTGGTTTTAATCGATGATGAGGATCCGGAGCATGTCAAGGAACTGGTAGATGGGAACTTACAGTGGGTGACAGCTTATTTTGATAGAATTAAGTACTGGGCTCCATCAGACATCGCAGAGGAAAGATTTGTGTGGGTGAGAATCCAGGGGTTACCCATACATGCCTGGTCTGAAGAAAGTTTATCAACAATCGGTAACCAGGTGGGTAAACTGGTTTCAATTGATGAGTATACACTCTCTAAGGAATGCCTAGATGCAGCAAGAATGTTAGTCTCCACCAAGTCCAAATTGGCGATAAATGAAGACTTCGTTCTCAAAGTGAAGAATAATAGCTTTCACATTGCTGTAGTGGAGGAAAATTGGAGGACTGATCCATGGTGGCTGAAGAAAACTGCTAGCTCAATTGATGAGTCAGAAGCGAGTTCAACGGGTTTCAACTTCGGTGAAGATTCCGGCGATTTTGACGATGACAGCATGAACGGGCTACAGCAAGACGAATTTCAAACACTTTCCCAAAGAGTCAATGGCATTAATTGCTCTGACATAGTGCGCGGCTCAAAGAAATCTGCTGAAATGGGCAAGTTTTGCAACGGCACTCTATCAAATCAAGAGTGTGGGGAACAGAGAGAGGAGCGGGAAAGCAGGGGAACAAATCAGCTTAACAGATTGTGTACAGACCTGGATTCTGAAGTGCAAGTAATCCAAGAAACGGCCCAACTTGGAAGCCCAGAAGACAGCAAGAATGAAGCCCAGTTGGTTAAGAATAAAACAAAAAGGGGTGACCAGGAGCAAGGCGGGCTTCAAGTGGACAAAAGCTCTAATAAGAGCCCTTCTCTACCGCCTGAAACGAGGGCTGAATTAACAAAGCTGATAACTGGGACAAAACGTGGAAGGAGGAGAAAAGCAACCATCCAGCCGGTCAACTTCGGTGGTGAATCCCCAAT